TCTTTAACAATTTCAGACCTTTCAATCATATGCACAAAGAACTCTTGTGAAGCATTTCTTTTGTTTGTGTGCTACCTTTTATTTATAGAATTCGTACATTAAATTGATCATCTTTACAAAATAAAGAGATACTTTAGAACCATAATTGTATGGTAATTTTAGAATGTCAAAATTAAGGTCAATAGGACTCAGGTTGGCAAGTTTTATAGTACAATACTGCAGTCTGTAACTTTTGTTTTAATTCGAGAAAGGAAAAACTTATGTTTTTGATTTCTAGTTTAATTTACATTAGAAATTTTTAAAAGTTAGTTGGAGTAAGTTGATTACCTTCTACTCAGGGTCGAAGAAGAAATTGCAAGCTACTTTCAAGGGTAATTCAGCATTCGTCATTTAAAAGGGTAAAAAGGTATTTTAATATATTGATGTACTCACCAAATTAATTAGGTTCATGCATGAGAGTTCAATTGAGGCCTGTTGGAATTTCGTAGATCAATCAACACGAGTATTTTGATCAATCGAACTCTGTGGAAAAGCAGTTTTGAAATGAATTTAAACTCTACCAAGCCTATCAACCCTATTATCTCTATACTTCTACTTTGCATATATATATATATAGCATACTCGCTTTGTCTTTTTATTAGTGCTATAAATTGAGTGATTTCTATTTTCTGCTATGAACTGAATTTAAAATTTTGGTAATTTACTTTTAAATTCAATAGGTTGTTCAATTCGATAATTTGTTCTACACGACCTATTCACCCCGTCTAGGTCTAGATCACTGGTCTTGTGCGATTCTCTATTAGAGTTTTGGATTTTGGTCCTTACATTTAGTGCCTTTATACGGGTAGTAAGAAATTGAGTGGTTGCAGAAGTATTTTACTATGGTGGATGGTGGGCTTTGATTATTACTAACTTTGTAGGCATGAAAATAGGAAATTCCTGTAGATTTCATTTTTCGCATCCTGTCCCATTCATAGGGGCCTTTTCCAACTTCAAGCAAAAAATCATCCACTAAGGTGGAAGGAATGTTCTTTGATGGACTTTTTGTTCTTTGCAAAAATGAACATGAAGAAGCATTAGACTTTATTTTTAGCCCTAACTGTTTTATTTATTATTATTTTTTTTAATGTTTTTTGTTAGTAAGAAACACACTTACACACGCTTTTTGTCTTTATGGGGACTTGAACCCTCGACCTTTTACTTTGGAAGGCAAAGAAGTATCACTAGACTATAAAGCCCTTGGTTTTAGCCTTTACACTTCAAACATTTTCTATTTCACCGTTCCTTACATCCCATACTTCTCATCTTCTATGGCATAGAGGCTGAATAAAATTTTCAGTTTCCTTACGTAACCATCTGTAAAGATTATAATCCATTCATAATATTTGAGTAATGAATTTTTACTATTTATTATGGGAAAAAAAAGGTGATATAATCAGTATAATTCGTGCTTCTAGTTCTTGCAACCATACAATGAGCTGGCTGGTTTAGCATCTAAGGAAGGCCTGGCTTATGCCATGATGAGTCTTTCGACTCTTTCTGGTAACAACGGAAATGGAATTGTATTCTTAGAACTAATTCAGCTGTGGTGAAGAAACCTCTTGATAATGAACATCTTGTGCTTCCGAATTAATTATTTTACCGGGAAATTCCCTTTGAATGAGCTGCATTGTTTCTTCCATTTTGAAATAGAGACTGTCGCTAAAAACAGCAATACATAGAAGCAATCACACTCTGTTATTTGCAAGTTTATGTGAAGGTATTTGGTGCATTTGAGGTGGATTATATCTTATGAAAAGATATAATTGTTTTAATTTCATTTTGGCACAGGAAAGCCTCGAAGTATAATTGGCAAATTGTATCTCATATGAGAAGAGATAAGTTTGGTAAGATACGCTGCTTAACTTCTTAGAATACGTTACAGGCTTCCACTTCGTTTGGCATTTGGGAAAGTTTAATTGGGAAAATTGTATTGGAACAACCCGACTACTGTTTTATAGTGACACAAAATCAAAGCACCTTTGTTAATAAAATTCCGTACTTCTTCAATGATAGAAATTGACTCTCTCTTCAACTTTGGACATACCAGCTTCATTCGGCTCATATTATCTAAATTTTAAAAGAACAGAGTAATAAACAGCCTAATCACAAAGCTTAAAAACATGTTTCCCTCTTCAATTAAGGCATAGTATATAGATATGACTGTGTGTTTCCCACTCTCTTTGCAAGGGCTTCCAAGGTCTGGGGCGTGACAAGCGTCTCTAGATAATGGGGGACGCTGAATCAACGTATGGATCAACTCATGATGTTTTTGTACGTGAACCCCCTTCATTTGCAGAAAGCTCAATGGATCCTAACTATCAAAGAAGCAGCAATCCACGTACGTAGCTGATAATTTCAACTTCTTGGATGAGGTTTTTCGTTTCTCCATAATCTGCTATCAATTCTTTTCTATGTTGTTGATTTTGATTCTGAAAGTTCGGTTGTTACCAGTAAGTGCTTGTCATGACCTTAGATACCATGAAGCAGAATATAACCGCGCCATTCATGAAATGAAAGACATTGGGGATAAGTTTTCACCCACACAATCTCGTGAAATAAAAACTTCATCGACATTGACACCTATGATGCTTCACCCATGATGCAAAGGATGCAAATTGTATGTTCCTTGGACGAATCCGAGGAATATGCGAAGTTGTTGGTTTCTTCCAATGTCGAACTCCATCCATTTAGGAGGGTCTGTGCTGCTTTTGTATATGAAGTTGGCAAAGGAAACAATTTCCAGGAAAAAGTCTCGGTGTACTGGTGCATATTCTGTGAACAACTTTGTGTCTTGGTCATTTGTGTTTTGTAACTTTGTCAGAAGATTTGCATCAAATTGAGGCTGTGTTTGTAGATTGAAAACTAAGCTGAGAGATTGTATTGTCATCTTGCTTCAAGCTTCATCAACAAAACAATGTAGAGAAGGTAAGTGACCTAAAAAGACCATAGGATTTGGAGTCACTATAAACTTTTTATTTTTTCATGTCATGTATTAAGCATATTTTGTTATGATAAGGTCTCAGTTTTGGCATATTAGACCAAGATTTTGACAATATAATGGACCTTGAATGTTGCGACTACTCACTATGTGTACTGTGTGTGTGGGGTTGCTCACAACGTGGTGGTTCTCCCACCATAACACTATAACGGACCCATCACATACTGTTAAAAGTATCCTAAATAATGAATATAACAAAGTCATTTTGTAATTATATATATATATATATATATATATATTTTAGAAAAATAAAATTGAATGCATTTTTAAAATATGTTATGGGTTAATTAAAAAAATAATATAAAATTTTAGAAAATAAAAATAACAAATTTTTAGCTCTAAACTTCAAATTACTGATTTATTTTATAATTATATGGATAAAATGACAAAAAAAAAATTATTATATATAATTATATATATTACTACTATACTATTAGTTTTTGACATATTTATGCTGTATTTGTATTCGTATTCGTATTATTATTATTTTTTTTAAATTTATAATATCATTATATTTGTATCGTATCATATTCGTATTTGTATCCCTACTTCTTAGCATATACCTTGATTTGGTATTAGCCCCAATCTTGATGCAACCAATAAAAAAAATGTATGAATTTGATTTCGTTGATTTCTCTCATATATCACTAGTTAAGGTTTTGGTAAGACCAGTTTCACATAACTCACTTGTCCATCTTTTTCCGTGGATTTCGATCTAAACACTCAAATTCAAGGTCGATGTTTTAAAACTGATATGAAATAAATAAAGAGTAATGTTATTATGGGTCCTTATTAACTAATGAATTAAAAGATTTATTAAATGATGGATTAAAATGAATTAAAGGATTTATTAAATGACTGATTAAATTTTTTTGTAAATCTTAAGAAATGGTCTTAATTCGGTGATTAAAAAAGGAAAGAGTTCATTCCTCTTGAGAGGATTTTCAAGATGGCATTACTTATAAATAAATAACAAAAAAAAGAGAGTTCATTCTTCTTGTTGTCATGAGAGGGCTTTCGAGATAGCACTACTTATAAATAAATAAATAAATAACAAACAATAATGAGGTTTCTCTCTCCACTAGTCAATAACGTTCATTGGTGCACCAATGTACCATATGTGTCACAAAGAGTTATAATAGCCTAACCGAATAATTTTGATTAGTTATTGTTGTCCATAAATATGGTCTAATAATATCATATACTATAGTATTATTTATTTAAATATTATTTGAAAATATAATGTATATATATATATTTATAATATATAATTTAATATAATCAAATAAAAACTATAAAATAAAATAACCTGATTAAAAGTCGAAGCTAGAATTTGATATTATATCCTTAAGACAGATTTGCCCCGCTATGGTGCTAATGGATTCAATGACGTTTATCTTCTAGGAGATACAACTTATCTTCTGGCAAACCAAAGGAATATGCGAATCGGCTCGGTGTAGTACTCTCTGATTCGAAGTCACTGACTAAGGCTCAAACTCAAAGACTAGGGCTCGAACTCTCGGACAAAATCTCATCAAAAGTTTATGTTTTTAATGTCTCGTTTCCAACTGATATTTGTGCTAAATATAAGTAAGTGGAGGACTCTACTTTCTTATTTGTTGTATAAATGAATAATTAAAAACATTAGGTCTAGCAATTCAGTACAACTACCTATTACAAAACTTATAAATTTTATTTAATTGTAATTAAACCTTAAATGTTTATAAAGGCTCGAGTTTTATTATATATATATATATATATATATATATATATATATTTAAAGAAGATCGAAAATTCAAATACAAAGTGAGCGTGGGAGTTTGGTTTAACTGCTAGTATGCTTGTTTTTATGAAGTTGGGCTTTAGGGTCTACTTGTATGGACTGTGTGGCCCGTTAAGTCACGAAGGGACAAAATCTCAGCTGTGAGAGTCGTCCGTGCCAGAAAATATGGACGTTAGAAACGTAACGGCTATATTTTAATTTTAAACTTCAAAAATCAAAACCCTTTCGAATCAATTTCTACATCTTCTCCGTTGACTCTTCTTCTTGCTTCACTTACCAAAAAAAAACTCTCTTCCGTTTCAAGCTTTCTGTGAGTCACTCAATTCTCTCTCTCCCAAAACCCTAAAACACCCAGAAAATCCCCAAATCTCTCTCTCTTTCTCTCTATTTGCAAAACAGGGTTAAACCCTAATTCTTGAATGGGTTCTTCTACACCTTCATCCAAATCAAATCAAAGCCACCAATCAAAGACCCCCCAATCCAAACGCCTCAATTTTCATATACCCAAACCATCGCCAAATCCGAACTCCGCAGTCAAAGAAGGCACACCAGCAGAGCACCCAGTGGAAGTAATCGGCCGAATACGCGACTACCCGGATCGGAAGGACAAACCCATCTCGGCATTGCAGATTAGTCCGGACAGCCAGTCTGTTAGGGTTCGTACTGACATTGGGTATCGCGATTTTACCCTCGATGGTGTTTCTTTGTCCGAGCAAGAAGATCTTGATGGGTTTTACAAGAAATTCGTGGTATCTAGGATAAATGGTGTGAAATTGGGTGCAAAATGCACAATTATGATGTATGGACCGACCGGTTCGGGCAAGAGTCACACCATGTTTGGGTGTGCTAAGCAGCCTGGAATTGTGTACAAGTCTCTGAGGGATATCTTGGGCGAAGAGAATGAAGAAAGTGATGCTGGTGAGCAGCGTTCTGGGGTTAGAACATTTGTTCAAGTCACTGTTCTTGAAATATATAATGAAGAGATTTACGATCTGTTGTCAACCAACAATGGTGGAGGATTGAGTCTCGGGTGGTCTAAGGGCAGTGCTTCAAAGGTAAACAAATTGCCCTTTTTCTCAACAATTTTGATTGACAATTAATTGTTGGTTAAATCTTTTTTTTTTTATATATTTTATTTTGTTGGAAATTGCTATTGTGTGATTATGATTTTAGGAAGAAGGGTGCTGTTGAGGTTGCATAGATGATTAAATTTGATGCGGGGGCCTGTGTGATCCTGATTTTTGATGATTTTTTTATATATGTAGTTGGAATTTTGATTGTTTTTGTTTAAAGTGGACACTTAGTTGTAGATCTGTTCCTTGTCATTATTATACAATGTTTGCTCTTATGTGCGTTAATTCTTAGTGGTTTGACCTTGAGGTTTTAGATGAGAAATAGAAGAAACATGCTCCTCTGTAAATTCGAATTCGTAGCAAGTCAACATTTCTAATTGTGTGAGCAGTTATATTATTGAAACATCCCATAGACTTTGAAATTGAGGGGAAGAAAGACCAGATTTCTGGCCTTATTCTAAATTGACTATTTTTAATTGGGCTAGTGCCATTGTGTGATGTCAAGTTCAAAAGGGTAATTGGCTTCATTGTACTACTGTTAATATGCCTTATTGTTTACTTGGGATAATTTCTTCAAAGGTAAACATTTACTGCTAATTATCATTGTGTGATGTCAAGTTCTTAAGGCTAATTGGCCTTATTGTACTACTGTTAATTGGCCTTATTGTTTACCTGGGGTCATTTCTTCAAAGGTTAGCATTTCTAATTTTGTGAGCCGTTTTATTATTGAAACATCCTATATAGACTTCGAATTTGAGGGGAAGAAAGATCAGATTTTTCGGCCTTATTGTTATTAACTTTTGTTAGTTGGTCTAGTGTACTACTGTTAATTGAAGCTTCTTTGTATGCCATTGTATGATGTCAAGTTCTAATTGGGCAGTTTGTTTGTCCTTGCCGATTTCAAGTTTGTAATTTGCATTTTCAGGTTAGACTGGAAGTGATGGGAAAGAAGGCAAAAAATGCAGCCTTTATATCTGGAAATGAAGCTGGAAAGATATCAAAAGAGATCCAGAAAGTTGAGAAGCGGAGAATTGTTAAAAGCACACTGTGTAATGAGAGAAGCTCTAGAAGTCACTGCATGGTCTGAATCTCTCAATACTTCTCACTTAGATGACGATCCAACCTTTTTAGAATCTTGTGTTTGCATGAACCTGAACTTTCTTTTTGCAGATAATTCTTGATGTCCCGACAGTGGGAGGACAACTTATGCTTGTTGACATGGCAGGATCTGAAAACATTGAGCAAGCTGGTCAAAATGGTTTTGAAGCTAAAATGCAGGTAGCCTTCTTTCTGTAATATTACATTTTTCCTTTTTCATTTGAATTTTTGAAGTTTCACCTATCAGTTCCAATTCGATTGACTTCCTAACAGCAATATCATCAATTTGTGCTTGCAATTGCAGACAGGAAAGATAAACCAAGGAAATATAGCATTGAAGAGAGTGGTTGAGTCCATTGCAAATGGTGATTCTCATGTGCCATTCAGAGATAGCAAGTTAACTATGCTTTTACAGGTAAATTTCATTTATAATATTGTAAAAATGGTGGTTTGCATGGTATCTTATTTATTTATTTATTGCTGATTCTTTTTTTCTTTTTCTTTTTTTCATTTTGTTGTAGGATTCCTTCGAGGATGATAAGTCAAAAATTTTGATGATACTGTGCGCTAGCCCAGATCCCAGAGAAATACACAAGACAATCTCCACCTTGGAATATGGAGCAAAAGCAAAATGTATTGTCCGTGGACCTCATACACCAACAAAGGAAAAAATTGGCGGTGAAGATTCTTCATCGGCACTTATTCTAGGATCCAGGATTGCAGCTATGGACCAGTTCATTTTCAAGTTGCAAATGGAAAACAAGCTTAGAGAGAAAGAGCGCAATGAAGCTCACAAAGAGCTTGTTAAGAAAGAAGAAGAGATTTCTTCCCTGAGAGCTAAACTTGAAAAAGTAGAAGTAAAAGGATCGGGGACAAGCGAAGAAGTGATTAATTTGAAGGTGAATGAGCTGCTGAAACAAGAGTTGGAGAAGAAAATACAGGAATGTCAGAAAATGGCAAATGAGTTTGTTGAATTGGAGAGGAGGAAAATGGAAGAAAGGATATGGCAGCAGCAACAGGAAGTTGAAATGCTGAGGCGGCGTTTGGAGGAAATTGAGTCCGAGCTATACCGTTCAAGTAATGGAAACGGTAAGGGAAATGGGTCGAGTGACATGGATGGAAGCAGCTTTGCCAGAAGGCTACTAGATCTTTATGCTGAGGACGACCCAGGAATGGAGAAATCAATGGATCTGGACAAATCAATGGACTTGGAAATCAGTAAACAAGAGCCTTTTGTTCGTGATGTGAAATATTTTGATGGTGCTGCTCATAAATCAGACAACAATACTAACCAAGCCATATGGAACCAGAGCAATCTAAACAGATTGAATAATGAAGAGGTTCAAGATGTAGTTTCCCCGACATTTCCCAACAAAGTATCTTTGAGCACTGTATTTGAGGAAGGAGAAGAATTAGAAGACAACGAAGATAAAGAGAAATCAGAGGATGAAGAAGTGCAGAAAGAAGTAATAGAGGAGAAGACAGTGTGCTCTAGCAGCATCATTCAAGGCTGCAAATCTGGGCTCAATTTCAGTACAGGGTCTTTTGCTCCACCGTCTGAGAATTTCATTGCAACACCAATTGCATCTTCTCAGAAATTTGATTATTTCAGAGATAGATCAGAGGAGAAGCATGCGGGTCTGGGATTGATAACTGAGCCTGAAAATGCTAAAGACACAGCCTCTTCTAGGCGATTAAGAATTCAAAATATATTTACTCTTTGTGGGAATTATAGAGAGCTTTCTCAGCAGAATAGAACCCCGATTCCCTCCAAAAAGAGGTTTGATGAGTTTGCTCCTGTATCATCAATTGATGAAAATGCATTGGAGCCATTTGCGATGAACACAATTCAGGATACTGATGAGATTGTATTGGAGTCAAAGGAGAACAACAATCCATCAAATGAAAACACTGGTGATCAACTTGAAGTGTACATAAAATGGGAGGCGGCATCAAAGGAAAAATCAGGGAAATTCATAACTACACTTAAAACTATGAAAAATTCAACCCTTGCTGATTTACGGAAGCTGATAGAAGTCCATCTTGGACCAGAGAATCAAGCATTCACCTTTCTTGCACTTGGGGTATGTTATCCTTCTCTAATACTGCTATAGTTTCCCGAATTGTCACGCATGTCGTCTTTGCTCCAACATTTCTATAGTTTTCTGCAATTGTCATGTATGTCTTTGCTTTCTTGAATATGAGTTTCTTATACTTCCTTCCATTACCTATATATTTATAGGATCCCACTGGAGCTCCAGTCCCTAGAGAGAAGGAATTAACATTCCTTGCAAGCAAACTTCCCATTTGCAACAACCAGTTACAAGGGCACCTTGCTTGCTTGCGTCCAGTGAAGGGAGTCCAATGCCCAACTCATCTCCCATTAAGCCCACTGGAAAACAAACTTCCGATCACTCCTAATGCGCAGCATTACATGAAGCAAGGTGATGGCTTCTCACCCAAAGTAGCGCAGCACTTAAGTTCTACTCCCTTTATTACTGTAAGGAGATATTAGTTGCCGTGTCTAAACTTGACTGTATGAGTGGTGTTCATCTATATACTTTTGATATATATCATGCTCAAGTATTTGAGTTTAGTGCACTCTGAGTATATAAAATGTGTGTACTCCAGTGCATGCACAGACATCTTCCGTCTTAAGGGTGTGACATGATATAGCGCAACTTTGTATTACAACTATATGATATATGCCAATATGTTCTTTTGGTTATGCATCGTTATTTACTTTCTTTGGAAAGAATTAATCTTCTCCTATCAACTGATTTGAATTTTTTACTGAGCATTCCATAAGGCTCTAATAATTAAATGCTTTAGGGAGAGAGTTTATTAGGTAATAGATTTAATGAGTTTTTTTTTTTTTTTTTTACTGATCATTGAACTTTCACACAGATACCTGACTTCCTTGTGCAGAAAAAATAAATCTATATATCATGCACAAATCTTTTGCATTATGTCATAGCATTTTCTGCATAAGAAATTAAATGCTCTTGACATGATCCCATTAACCAGTGGAGAACGCCCCTTCCCACCACATTTAATATTGTGTGATAGTCTTGATTGATTGCGACCCCTAACCATATAATAATTTTAAAATAAAGTTAGAGTGATTTAATATCATATGAAAGTCTTTGACTGCAACACTCAACAACCATTCTTACATAATAAAGTTGACACATTTAATATCGCCTGTCAATTTACTACAACCCCCAACCATATTAAATTGTCAAGCGATATTAAATGTGTTAACTTTATTATGTAAGAATGGTTGTTGAGTGTTGCAATCAAAGACTTTCATATGATATTAAATCACTCTAACTTTATTTTGAAATTATTATATGGTTAGGGGTCGCAATCAATCAAGACTGTCACACAATATTAAATGTGTCAAATTTATTTAATTTAATTTTTTTTTATTTTAAAGTGCTTGACAGCTATGATTAACAGGGAATGATTTTTTTCCCTCTTTTTTTTAGATGTATAACTATTGCTTTATTAGAGGAGAGGATCTTCAAATGACATCAGTTCTTTCAACATATAAATGACATAATTACTAGTAATGTTTAAGAGAGCATAAGAAATATATATATATATATATATATATATATATATATATATATATATATATATATATATATTTGATTTGCATCTGTCGAAATTTAAAAGAACAATGCCTACCATAAAGTGGGAGTTCAAACTTATATTTTGTAAAATTTCAAAGAGTGATATTTCCTTCTTGTCCTATGCCCTTTTATGATTAGCATTTTAATTAGGGTGACTTGTGATGTATAGGGATTTTCTACTTTGTGGGAAAATATTTCATAGTTTATAATGATTGGTTAATTACCCTTTTTCATACTCAATCAAATCTTTCTAGTTCTTTTCTTGGCAAAATGGAATGCGAGATTCAAATGAAGGACCAGTGAAGAGTTTTACACAGAGTAATTAGTAGGTAGAACTAGCAGCAATATGAGCTCAGTATATGTTGTGAGATTTCGAAGTCATTTCATGCGCGCGCACGCACACACACAGTGAAAAAGCACAGCATGTACTAAATGGCATGACACTGAACTTTTTTTTTTTTCTTTCCAAATTATGTCTGTGCATTCTGCCTTGGGCCATCAGGTTGTTTTAACCTTCATTTAATATCTGATGAGACGGTAATTATCATCCACACATGACAACAATGTAAGTTGTTGCTATATATATATATATATATATATATATATATATATTACCAAAAGAAATTCATGAACTTCTCTGTGCTAAATTAAATAGAATTTGCTCACTTGCTGTATATATATGTAAGTACACTTCCACAACTGGTGATATTTAAATTGTGGAACTTTTTGCAAATGTAAGCCCAGATGATGGGTTGTTTTCACTAATTTATAGTGAGTTATGCTAGCGCCATGGATGTGGGGGAAAACACTAGGACCCACTAGAGGAGAAAAGACATGGTCCTTTTTAAATTTTAAAATTTTTGTTGGGCAAATGAATAAAAAAATGAGGAATATTTTTTACTTTTGTAAGTTCTATCAAAGGTTTTAATAGATATTTTAAAATTCAGCGGGGACATTTTAGAATTATCAAAATTTATGTATAAAATTGACAAGCCAACTTATAAATTAGGTGAGTTCGCGGAGGCTTTAACAAGATTGATAAGATTGTTTATTTGCTTAAAATTCATTAATTCCATGACCCAATAAGATTTATTGAAGGATTTTTTTGGAAGAAGGAAAAATTGGTGACAAATTTGTTTTTGAGGTTTGGTTAGATACCAAACAATTTCATCGATATTTAGAGACGAACAACACGTTTTCATTGATAGAGTTTTAATCAATTTGAGTTCCATTTTTAGTTGTTTGTTTTTATCATATATGAATGAAATAAATAGTAATTTGTAAGGTTTGAAAACTCCAATTTTTTTTTTTTTTTTTTTTCATACATTACTATTAATTATTTCTTTATTATTTTACTATTTTTATAAAATAAGGGCAATTTAGGTATGTAAACTTTAGATACTTTTTCACAATTTTCTTGAATAAATTTTCATCATAACCAAATACATACTAAAAAATCAATTTTCTTTTCTTTCACTCCACTTTTCTATTGGCTCTGTTTGTTTGGACTTAAAATATTTTTCAGAAAATATTTTTTTATTTTTTTGGTATTTGGTTGTCGTAAAATATTTACGAAGAAAAAAAATATTAAAATTTAACAAAAATAATTTATTCATCAATTTTCGACAAGTTATTTTACATATTTCGCCCGATGGTCAACCTCGACGTAGACTTTTACTAAATACCGACAAAGTAAAAATAAAAGAATATTTTACCTGAAAAAAATAAATTTTAACATTGAAACAAACGGAGCCTCTTGTCTTGTTATTTCCATTTAACCAAACGGAGCATAAATGAAAAATATAACAGAAAATAAATCACAAAAGAAGCACAAAAAATTTACCTTATTTAGCTCAAAATATGTTCATTCTTCTTTATTCTCAAGATCCAAAAATGTCACTATGAGATTAAAAAGGAGTTCAAGAACAAAAACAAAGTAATATGAACATTGCCCCAAAGGTATATATGTATGATATATATCATATACACGCTAAATAAATATAATAAAAAGGCGCTATCGAAACAATGGTCTGCAGAAGAGAAAGTAATGGAAAGTGAAAGAGTTGGAATTTGTACAATATTTCATGAGTTTGAATAGGGAAAAAGGATTTTTCCTCAACCACTTAAACCTTCCCCAAAAAAAATTCTAAAATAAAACACATAATTTTTTTTTTCTTCCCTTAGATTAAGTGTATAGGCTCCATAACATATGGACCATTCAATTTAGGAGTACAGTTGAAAGGAAAGACTTTAATAACCTACCAACATCGCTCTACCCTGGGGCACATAAAAGAATAGAGAAGAGAGAGAGCCCATGCATAATAGAAGGTTTTAGTAGGAATGGTCACGTATTTAAACGGTTTAGTGTAGACATTAAATCAAAGCAATTCGATTCCTAGAAATTGATGAAAATTAAAATCAATTCGATTAGTGAGAAATTTTAAACCTAATCAATTTTAATCCGTAAAATATTGAATTGATTGAGCTTTTCCAAACATCTCAATAATTTGTTTTTTTTTTATTATCAGGATTTAATGGATGAATTATCAATTTATAACACGAGTTCATATATTTTAAAAACAATGAAAAAGAATTGACAAGTTAAACAACCAGCGGACATTATCATATTCAGTAGTCAAAACAGTACCCACACATCATTATAACTAATTTGAAATAAATGCATCAATTGTCAAGCTTGCTATATGTATAAAAGAAGCGAGTGTGTGGGACTAATAAAGGGGGTGGGGTGGGGTGGGGTGGGGTGGGGTGGGGGTTTAGGTTTAAGGTTTGGAGTATATATATTTGTATATATTATATTATTAACGAATGGAAATTTTGAGATTCTAATTTGCGAACTAAACTGATTCCTCGAATTTCTAATTTATGAATTCGTATTCGAAGGGCTGAAAATTCGATTCAATCAGCAAGGATTGGATTTAATTTAGCTCCTAATTCATGAACCAAACTGATCCCTCGGTTTCTTAATTTATGAATCCGTCATTGAACCGATGAGCCAAAAAATCAATCTGCATAAATTTAATTGATTTCACAATTAAAACGAACACTCCTAAGTTTTAGTTTCTTTAGTCAGCATATCTTATTTATTTATTTATTTAAGGGAGCCCACGTGGGATTTGAAATGATATTCGACAGTTTGACTTGGATAAAATAACGATTCTCTTAGGCTATATTTGATACGATGGGAATGAAAAGAAATAATAATATTAGTTATGAGGGAAAAGGATGGGAAGGGAAGGGAAGGAAAGAGAAGGATAATTTTAACCCCCTATCGTGTTTGGTTGATTAATGAAGGAAAAGAAAGGAAATGATAATAATCATATTTGAAAAAAGAAAGGAAAGGGAAGTATTTTAGTTAATTTACTATTATACCCTTTTATATTTTAAAAAATTAATTTATGGGCCTAAAAAATTATAGGCCGGCCACCAGAAAAAATATATACCATTTTTAGGGCAAATAATTTCAGCCTCCCCAATCGCCTCCATCTCTATTCTCATTCTCAATTTTGAACTTGCCCTCTCTCTCTTTGCAACTGCAAACTACAAAATTTACAAGAATCAGAAGTTCAAAACCCATATATTTCAGTTTATCTATTTGTTTGCAATAATCAAAAGTTCAAAACCTATTACCTATATCAAAACCCATATCGGCATATTATTTTAGATTGTTCGAAAAATCAACACCCATATCTTTCAGTTTCCGTCACCTGCTGTTCTAGTTCAGGTTCACCATTCGCAAGCTTCAGCCATTATCTCTAAACTCTCAAGCTTGCCCCCCTCTCTTTCTGCAACTACTAACTTGTATTTATGGGTTTTGTTTTAATTTTTTTTCTAAATCAACTAATCAAGGTTTGTAATTCTTGTTTTGCAAACTAATCAAGTGTAATCTTGATTTTGTGTAAGGGTAAATTTGGCATCAGAAATAAAAGATCAAGCCTCTCCTTCCCTTTCCTCCCATTTCAATAGGAGGATAAGAAAATTACTGTTCAAAGCCAAAGCTTGTGATATCCTTCCAAAACCTTCCATTCCCTTTCTTTTCCTTCCAGCCATTTATGCAAAATACAAATTTTTA